TAGAGCTATATAGTCACACTCAGAGCATTTTGGAAATGAAACATGGGCCGGAGGATGAATACCATGTTTGGTATACAAATGATACAACAAGTGATTTCTTTTGCTGTTTCTCAAACCGCAGTACTCACAAATCCTGGCATCTATTTTCAGTTCGTGTACCTGTTAATAATTAATTCAATAAAATTATTTTGCCTTACATATCGCAGTCTCAGGGTAATGCAATATTTTTTACCTCAACCAAATGTCTTCTGTAAGTATAGTAAGACTCGAATTCTATAGGATTTATTTCTTCGCAAACGTGACAAAACCAAGGACCAGTTTTGTTCTCAACGTCAAACAATTTTTCCTTTTCATTTTGTCCATTTTTAGCAAGAGGTAAGTCACCAGAACTTTTATTCGTCAGAAAAATATAAGAAACCAGCGAGGACGACGACTAAAAATTAAAATGTAATTTGTCAATCATTCACAACTTTTAAAATTCATAACACGAAAAACATTTTTAAAAATTATCATACTTTGGCTCCAGTTCCGACATCCCCTTCGACAGCTTGTTGCATTGCAGGCGGTACCGCTGCCGGATTTTTACTCACTACTCGCAATTTAATATTTTCTCGTTTGGCTAAATTCGGATATTTTTTTAATACTTCCGATACGATTTTGACATGATGTTTGCCCGATTGAAGTTGACTGACGTTCATTGGTAAAACAATTTTTTGCTTCGACACCACTTGATCCGGCTGTTTAGTATCATTATTAGTTACATTGGTTGTACTACTAGCAGATGAAGTAGCAACTGTGAAATCGGTGCCAATTTCATTTTGCTGTTGATTATTTTCTTTTCCTTCTAGAGAAAATCTAACTTTTTTAGAAGAAGCAGGAGGTTCGGGCTTGAAAATTGTTTTTAAAATTGGCTTTGGTGTCGACGAATTGGCGTTTGAAACATTAAAATTCTGCATTCACAAACAGTAAAAGTAAAATTAAAACAGTTACATATAATTTTAATGTATTTTTTGTAAGTGTGATAAACAATAAAATTTGAAAAGAAATTTGTTATTTATAAAACGTACGCTTATATCAGCGGGTTCATCTTCACACTGCCCATACAAATCATCCGTATCCATCATGTCATCTGCATTTTCTTCACTACATATTATTTCATTACGTAATTGCTGTTGTTTTCCGTATTCTTTCATGTCTTGTAATTCGCTTTGCTAAAAACATAATTTTAAATTGTGAAAACATTTACTTTTATTTAAGTAATAAATTATAATAAAGTAATAAATTACCCGCGATCTTTTATAGGGAGGTGATTCCGAGGGACTTTCTTCGCAACTTTGCCTTAAAGAATCATCTGATGAATAATCATTTCTTTGAGTTGTGCTTTCGGGATCTAAAATAATTGGATATGAGATTTTAACTGAACCATCGTAGGAAAGAGTTTTTAAAGCATCTTCGACAGGTTTCAATGATGTGAGATCATTAAGATCTTCTTCCCATTCAAAACGTGTGGGTTTTCCTTTTTCGGTAGAACGATAAGTTGTGCGCCTGAAAATTAATTTAATACATCACTCACCAAATTTTTTAGGGATTTTAAACTTTTTAAAAAAACTAATAAATTTAATTACATACACATTTTGAACATTTTCCGTCAAAAACTGAGATCCACTAAGAGGAACTTTTCTTTTCCAAACTGGAAGCCTATAATTACAAATTATTTAGTTAGAAAAACTTAATTTTAATGATTTATTTGTTTTAATAAGAATTAAAGGAAATTGAAAAAATTTGTAGAGTTGATTTTTCGAGAATAAAATATCGCTATATTAATAGGAGCAAAATTAAATATTAAATATCATTTATAAGTACCTTAACGAGACTAAAAATTACCATCGTAGTAATATTAATCGATATTTAAGAAATAATCACTCACGTTTTAAGGTAGATACACTTAAAATCAACATCTTTGTTCAAATATGAGTTCTATACAATTCAGGTTAAAACTAAAATGGAGAATATTTTTTTTAAGAATATAAGTAAAGTAAAAAAACATAATAATAATACTTTTATGAAAAACTAAAAGGATTTTTCACTACAACAGATTAATTTTTTTTTTTACAAGGTATAAAACTTAAATTATAAAAAAAAAAATGAAGTAGCTTTTAATTATTTAATAATAATCAAATTTTAAAAGATTATTAAATTTTAATAAAAGTTTTAAATACATACTTTCTTCCAGGCAAGGTGGGCGGTAAACTAACATCAACCACTTTAGGCTTTGTATTGACTGTAGCCAGTTGCAATCCTATATTTTTTTTAAAACTTTTTGGTTTGCTTTGACTATTAGTTTTACCAGTAGCAACATCACTCCATTGTACTAAAGTCACATTACTGTTAAGATTTTGATTTGATTGAGAAGTTTTAACTGACACAGGTATCAAAGTAACAACAGGTTCTTCACTTTGCTTGGTTAAAGAATTAGAGGAATAATTTCCTTGTAATAAGGAAACATCAGATGAAGAAGTAACAAGTTCTTGTCCATCCTAAAAAAAAAAAAATAATAATAATAATAATAATAATAAAAAAAATGAAATGAATGTTAAAAATATTGAGTATTTAAAAAATTAACCACCTGACTATTATTTATTACATTTTGTGTGGGTAATAAACCTTCATTTTTCTTTAAAGAAACTTTGGTCAAAGGCTCTTCTGATGGTTGATTCCCATATTTGTTTGAAGTTTTACTTGATTGTACATCCAAAAGTTTAGTTAAAATAGTCATTCGCAATTTTGTAGCTGCTTCATATAATCTTGGCTTTAAAGTTACCGGAAACTCTAATTTACCTGTATACATAAATCTGAAAAATTCAAAAAAAAATTTTTTTTTAAAATTAAAATAAATAATTATCACAATAAAAAAAAATTTTGTACAAAGTAATATTTACCCGATAATAGGAATCACTACATCTGGTTGCATTTCATTTGATAATTGTAAAAATTCACCATGTTCGGAATCTGTCATAATATCTAATGATTCAAAATAATCTGTACATGCATGTAATACAAGTTTGTGCACCTTGAAAAAAAAATTTACACATGATTAATTATTATCATTACATCTTTTAAATATTAAAATAATTTTAAACATAAAACAAAAAAAACTTTTTAAAAAAATCACTTATTCACAATAAACGTAAATCAAAGGGCTTAAATTTAAAAAATTAATTAAACACTTATGTTGTAAGTGACAAACAAAGTTGAAAAAATTTTTGTTACCTTTATTGTTTTGACATTATCATCCAAAGTAGAAAACATAAGAGTTAAATCACAATGTGATTTTTTTCTATAAAAATGATTAAGCCTTTGTAAAAAAAATAAAGGCCAGTTATCCACCTTAACTTGGTGGTTAGCAATATTTTCTGTTTCACTCATTTTTCATTTGAAATTTATAAATTTTAATGGCAATTATAAAATTAACTCTTACAAAATTTTCTGAAAAAAAAAAAAACAAAATCTAAATTAATAAACCTGACTTATATTACACAAAGCTTAAAAGTAAACAAAATTAAATTCTAAGTAAAAGTTATTTTACCCAGAAGAAAGCAAAAAAAAATTTTTAAGTTTTAAAATGAAAAAAAAAAAAAAAAAGATTTCCATTATCGCCCTAAATACTTTAATTTAGTATATTTTAGAATATAAACGGGTAAAATATCTTTATTAAATGTAATAAAATATAAAAAGTTTTAATTTACATTTGAAATGTATAAATTTATTTCAAAGCCGCGGATAGTCAAAGGAAAACATAAAACATGTTTAATTGAGGAAGAGCATTAAAATTCAAGCTACTGTAAAGTTATGTGAAGAAATTGTTTTTTAAAATCAACAATGTACTTTATATATGTTATAACAAATAACAAACCTTGTGGTACTGTTGATAATAATTTTTCGTAGCTCCATCTTTACATTTCACAAAGATTAACGAGAATTATCAAAATTTTACTATGCAGAATAGTTCATTATGCGTTTGGTAGATAGCAGTAATGAATTTCTTAAAAATCGATTTAGTTGTCTGCTTACACTTTTAATAAAAGTGTAGTTTCTGAACTAACATTTAAGTTATGTTAGATCGTTAAATTTTTAAATATATTTAAACGAGGAAAATTTAACTTTGGAATGAAAATGTGTGAAATGACATTTTCGTCTTTAAAATCTTCTCATCAAATGAGAGAGTTTGTAAGTACTTATCTTTAATTATCACTTACTTTTATAAGTAAAAATAAATGTTTCCAATGCAATTATTTTGTAAGAAATTTCAAATAATGATTTATCAATTTTTTTTTAGGAGGAAAAAAAAATGCAAGAGAGGAAAAGAAATATATTGTATTTAATACTTCATCATCTTAAGCAAGAAGGGTAAGTATTTATTTTTTGTATCTAACTTAATTTCATATATACACTAGTATATATTTTGTTTACAGTAAATCTTTAAAATTAAACTTTTATTACTTAATATTATTAAAAAATATTTGTATGTTTCTTATAATGCAAATCAGTTATCAAGTTTTTTTTTTTTTTTTTTTTTACCAAAATTGTGAACTTTATAAAAAAAATTTAAAACCCCCTTTCATGTCTTAAATTATAAGAAGCAATATCAAATTTGAAACTTTAATCACTTTACAGATACTATAATAGTGTTGCTACATTTATGAATGAAGCCCAATTATGTAACTCATATCAAATTTGTGATAATGTAGATCTTCCATTAATTATCCAAGATTTTGAAAGTTATTATTATGTTCGATTTCAAAAATATCCCAAAATTTGCAAAAAGTCAAATCCAGAGGAAAAAATTGTAGAGTTAAAAAAAAAAAATCATAAATTTCAAAACAAAAAACCAGGTAGAGTTTAAAGGAAGTTGCCAGAATAAATGAGTACATGTAAATAAAGCACATTTGATTTTAATATTTGTTTCAAAACAATTTGTATTTTATTGCCAATTTAAATTGCAGATATTTTTTATTTCTTATAATGAAATATTTTTCTCTTTTTTTTGTGCTACCTTATTCCCATTTTTACACAGCACAATTTTATAAATTAATTTTAGTTTGTTGTTGTCTAGAAATTTCTTGTAATTTTTATGTAATATCAATATCACTTTTTCATTATTCTGTTAATAAAGTTAAATATCATCGTTTTTCTCTATTATGTTAGAGTATTATATTTAAATTTATTTTTAAATTGTTTTCTACACATAATCAATTTAATTTTCAAATTATTTAAATTTCTTAATTTAAAACTATTTAGTTTAATGTCACTGGTAATTTAATTATTAATTTTAAATAGATTTTGTACCTTTATAAATCACAATTTGTACTAATTATTTTTATATTTTATTTCAGATTCAACAAATCTTTCTACAAAAATAGACAACAATTATCAAAATACAAACAAACAACCTACAAATTTAAATGAAAAAAAAATTAATGGAGATTCAAACTTTCTCTCAGTTGTACCACTGGGAAATGAAAATATTTCAGAAGATGTACCATTCAAATCTCAAAAAATATTAAAACCACTCGGAAATTTCAAGAATCAAAGTAGTGAATGGCTGGCAATGGCTGAACTAATTACTAAGGTAAGTAATTTTTTAAATTTAATACTAGATCAATAAATATCTTTTTATAAAATAATAAATAAGTTTTCTTGTTTGTATATATAAATTTTCATAAACAGGGTATCATCTTAAACAAATTTTTAAGACAGAAAAAATATATTTTAGGATATTGTTCTACAAGACTTAAATGTCAGATGGTCTGATATTATTGGATTAGAAGATGCTAAACGATTACTAAAAGAGGCTGTAGTTTATCCAATTAAATATCCAGAATTATTTAAAGGCCTTTTATCACCTTGGAAAGGTTTGTTGTTGTTTGGACCTTCAGGCACTGGAAAAACACTTTTAGCTAAAGCAGTTGCTACAGAGTGCAAAACAACATTTTTTAATATAACTGCTAGTACAATTGTAAGCAAGTGGAGAGGAGATTCTGAAAAACTTGTTAGGGTATGGAAAATAAATTCTATAAAATTTACTTAAATAACTTAACAAATTCAATAATTTAAAATTGTAAGTATGTATAATTAACATTTTACTTAAAATTTCTTAAAGGTTATGTTTGATTTGGCAAAATACCATGCACCATCTACAATATTTTTGGATGAATTAGATGCTTTGGCATCAAAACGTGATGGAGGTCATTATTCCAGTGAGCATGAAGCTTCAAGAAGACTCAAAACAGAATTATTAATACAGTTAGATGGTTTATCTCAAACTGAAGAGCAAGTCTTTTTTTTGGCAACTTCTAACTTACCATGGTATGATGTTTGAAGCCTTTCATGATTTGAAATTTTTAAAAAAAAATTTATAAATTTTAAGGGAACTTGATCCTGCCATTTTAAGAAGACTTGAAAAAAGGATTTTGGTTGACGTTCCCAACATGGAAGCTCGTGAATCTATGTTTAAACATTACTTGCCAAAAATTGTTAATAAACATCCTCTTCTTAAAACTGATATCAATTATGAACTTTTAGCAAAGGTAATATTGTTGACATCAAGTTGACTCGTAATTCTTTTTATCAGCCAAAATTGTTTAGACTAATAGTAACTCATAAAAAGTTATTATACTACAACTATTAATGATTTTTAATATTTATAATAATTAGTCTAATTGCCGTAAATTTGTTAGAAAACAAGTAGATTTTTTAATTTTTTATTCGAATAGGAAACAGAAGGATATTCCGGTTCTGACATACACTTAGTATGTAAAGAAACTGCAATGGAAACTACTAGAAAAATATTTCAAGTATTGGAAAATAACTCAAACATTAATAATGATTATTCCAAATTGGAATTAAAAACGATAACTACAAATAATGTTCAAATAGCATTACAAAAAACTAAGCCTTCAGCACATCACCTTGTAGAAATGTACAAATCTTGGCAAAATAAATTTGGTTCAGTGTAATTATTTAACTTTTGCAAAAAAAATTTTATATTACATTTTAATTAATTAAAAAAATATCGATTTAGTTATATTTATTTTACAATTAAATTAATTTACAATATTTAATTTAATATTTCGGTAGTGCTTAACTTTAATAATTACTGTATTTATATTTGTTTTAAAATTATTTCTTTAGTACTTCTGCATAAAGTTTTTGTTGCGATTCCTGAGTTTTAAAAAACGAAAAGTTTTATAAAAGAAGGATAAACGTCAGTAATAAATTATATAAAATATGAAAATGCAAAAATTTGTGATATTTACTGTAATAAAATTTATTATGATAAGTGTAATAAATATGCATTATTGATTTTTTGCCATTTTTAACCCATGATAATAGCCTGTATGATAGCCATTCATGTACCATGAAATTAACATAGCATTCATTGCTTCAGTTTCATCTTCATCTCCACACATATTTTTAAACATATGAGGGGGAGGAGGAGGAGGTGGCATAACACAATTATATTTATTCGAAGGTGAAAATTTTAGTGAGGTGCTACTTTCTGTTTTCTTGTAATTATTTTTCTTATTCGAAGGTGTGGGTTCAATGGGTTCACATTTTATATTTGAATTTCTCATCGTTTCATCTGCGACTGTTACATTCTAAAATGTCAATTTAAAAAATTATCAAGTACATGCATTTTTATTAACATACCTTTTAAAATTAATACATTTTATTAACTTACATTATCATTAGTAGCTTCACGTATTTGTTGTAATATAGCCTCTTCGCCATTACTAGGTTTAAGATTTCTTAATTGAACATTTTCTTCGTTTTCATATCCGTAATACTTAATTTTACACATTCCTGTAGAATCTATTATAGCCATAATTTCAGCTTCATAATATCGTTTATCTTCACTATATTGACACCTACATTTATCTCCAACTTTCCATTTATAATGTTCTTTTCCTTTTTTATAAACTTTTTTTGTATTTTCTTCCACACATCCCTCTCTAGCAAATTTAACAGCTCTGTCATAAGCTTCAACTAACATAGCATCATCCCAAATATCTTTAGCGTCTGTCAAACTATCATCACCGTTTTTATGATTCTGTAAAAAAAAAAAAATAAATAAACAGTTTAACTAAAACTTACTAGTTATACAAAATAACATAAATTGTAAAAAAATTTAAAATATCTAATTGTATGTACCCTGAACTTATGAAATATAACTGCGCCTTCTTCACTCATTTTATTTACTTACAATTTATAATGTTTAAAAAATTAAAAAAAAAAAAAAATTTTAAACAATAAAAATTTTGGAAGCTAACAACAAAAAAATCTAAATGGCGAGTGAAATGTTTAAATTTTAAAATCATAGAGATAATAAATTATTACTTTATGGTTTTATAAGTCGATCACTTTGAACGACAAAAAAAAAAAAAGTTTGGTGATTTTAACTTTTTAATATCGTTATTAAAATTAAATGATTTTTTTTGTAACAAAAAATGTGATTAATATCTTACAATAAATTCATTGTACATTTCTAAGTAAGTATTTTTTTAAAATTTCTTGTTGAGTTACAAAATTGTGTCATTAAATCATAAAAAAAGTTCGTTTTTTTTCCCAAATGATTTTTATAACGTTATAAAGGTATAAAATTATTATTATTATTATTATTCATTACAATGGTGACAATTTTTTATGTGAATAGTAAAGGATTTTGAAACAAATAACTAAAATTGAGTATGAAAAATATCTGTTTAATGAGATATAATAATAATATTAATGATATACTTAATAATATTGATAAATACTTGTACTAATTCATTTTAAAAAATTATTTTTCATAACTTCAATAAAAGGGCTTATGAAAAATGGCGGTTAGGGAAAAAAAAGCTAAAAAAATTAATACAGTAAATTTAATTTAATTAAAAAAAAAAAAAAAAAATACACACAGTTTTAATAAGCTTATAAAAAAAAAATGTTTGCAGGTTGTAATTATAAGAGATAAAAAAAAACAATTATATTATTACATATTTGTTGAATTAAAAGGGTGTTGTCTGTTGATGTCAGTAAATAAATTGAATATCTGCAAACATTGATAGTTTAATAAAAAAAAAAAAATTGGTAAAAATATTTTAGTAATTATTTTTTATTATTTTTATATATTAATTTAAAAAAAATAATAATAATAACGGTTGATTAACCAGAGAACAAACAATAAGAAATTTTATGGGGGGCATTGAAATAATAAAAGAAAAAACCACTAATATTATTATTTAACCTAAACTTTATTATATTTTCAAGTATCAAATTTTTTATTATATTAAACAATAGAAATTTAATATAAATAATTTTTCATTAAATATTATAACAAAACTTTTAATATCTCATATTTTACCATATACACTTATAATTATATTTATATTAAAAAAAAAAAAAAATTTAGAACATTGAATATGAATAACATTTTATGCTCAGCATTATAAGTAATAAGAAAACTAATTAATTATTTGATAATAAATTAATTTATTAAATTTTTTAAACTTTTTACTAAAATATTAATATTAAATACATTTACAAAATATAATAATAAATAGTAGGAAATGTTTCCTGTTGTAAAAAAATGAAAGTATCACATGTAATTTTTTTTTATGTCAAGTAGAAAATATTTTCTCTTATTAAGAGTTGGTTTTTTAAACAAATTACAATTATATCGTTAATTATATAAAAAAAAAGGAGAAATTATTTTTTTTTTGTATTATTTTGTGATAATGCGCGGTAGAAATTCCATTTTTATTTGCAATACATATATATATATATATATATATACATATAAATAACTTTGTTTTTCCATAACTTTTCAGTCCGTTTCGCAATCGCTCTCCATTTAATAACGAACGTTACGCATAAGCTTTTAAGAAAATTAAATTTTCGGTTTTGTTATTTATATATATATATACTAAAACCATAAAATTAATAATGTAAAATTTTATTATTTTTTTTTTGTAGTTAAACAACCGCGAATTTTTTTATTTTATTACCTTAAATTTTTTGTACATAATTAATTTTAAATATTTTATTTTTATTTATTTGATAAGGATTTAAATATCTCACGATTAATAATAATAATTTAGTCGGTTTTTTTTTTTTTGGAAAATGGGTAAGTCGTTGTACGTAATTTAATAAGATTCGAAATTTAATTTTAAATATTTCAAATAAGAATTAAAAAAAAAAAAGGAAATTAAAAAATGTAGAAAAGCTTCAATTACTATTTGTAAGTTAAAATACTTTGCAATAATCTTTTTTCTCTTTATTTTCACCTTTTTTTCGTTACACATCCGGTATTTTCTTTTGATCTCGTTTAAAATTTTTCCTTTTTC